CGATAACACAAATGGGCCATGCGCACGCAGGAAAAATCGAGAGTTTGAAAGCAGGGCCCGGGGCCGACGGGGGTTCGGGGCAGGCCGACGTGCAAACGGGGTATCAACGGGCGCGGGGGAGTGGACACAATGCCTGCGTGTCGACGCGAGGCTATGGCGAATGGACGGAGAACAGGTGCTGGGGAAGAAGAGGCGGTGGGTGAGGGGAAGGAGGAGGGGGGGCTTAAGCGCATGTGCGTATAAAAAGGGCGCCCTGCAACGAGGACAAGAGCAAACACTTTTGCCATTGTGCAGGCGCCGAATGTGAGATGGTAGTTGCTGTGGCAGGCTGGACCATGTCCTTTCCATGTAGACAGGGTTCCAGTTTCCACTGCGCTTGACTCACGATAGGTGCATAGTCTGCGGGACGATAGTTGCATCGTCTGGCAGACTTCGAACGTGAGGGAAATTCCGACGTGGCAAACATGGGCGACCGAGGTACGTTTTGGTCTCTCTCTCTTTGTCCCTTTTCTCTCTCACCGTCTTTATAATCTTGAAATGTACGGTCGTGTATGCAATCTGTAGCATTGTGCGTCCCTTCCTCCATCTCTTCATCTGTCTATTCATGTATCTGTCGGAGCTACATTCATTGATCCTTCCATTGATCTATCCATCCCTCCATCTGCTGCTCTGTTCATTCATTCATACATCGATCCGTCCATCCATGCATGTGTCGATGCCTCCCTCTCTCCCTCCCTCCCTCCCTCCCTCTCGCCCTCCCTTCCTCCGTCAATCCGTCCATTCATATGTTCATAGTGTTTTGAGGGTTCTCGATTTACGTGTTCCTTGAACTTTGCGGTGCGCACAGTTATCGTTCGTGATGCTAGCGTCCGAAGATGGGAAAACATTGGTCCGCCGTAACACTGTCCCTTGCTTGGTCGCCACAAGGATGGAAGTCGGGAGGGGGGGGGGAAGTCAGGATCGGAGGAGGGACGGGGAGGGAGGTCGGGATGGGGAGGGAAATCAGGATGAAGAGAGAAGTCGGGATGGGGAGGGAAGTCGGGTCGGGGAGGGAAGTCGGGATGAGGAGGGAAGTCGGGATGGAGAGAGACATGTGCGGATTGGAGGAGGGGAGTCGGGATGCATAGACAAGTGCGGATGGGAGGAGGGAAGTCGGGATGGCGAGGGAAGAGGCGACAGGGAGGGAAGTCAGGATGATCGGATGCGGCACAGAAAAGTAAATGCGCACGTTCGTACACGAGAGAGAGAGAGAGAGAGAAAGGGAGAGAGAGAGAGAGAGAGAGAGAGAGAGAGAGAGAGAGAGAGAGAGAGAGAGAGAGAGAGAGAGAGAGAG